GGAGCAAAGAGACAGCTTGCAGGAATACAGACCCCAGGATTCAGACAGAGTGGCCCAATCATGTCATTTGTATCCAATTTTAAGAATGCTAATATACCTCATTTCTTTTTTCCTGCTTATCACCATGTGTTTTAAGTTGATTAGTATGCTGTGTGGTGTAAGTAACTTAATTTGGCATGAGAGTCTTTTTTTCTTTTTCTTTTCATTTTAATATGGAACGCTTCATGAATTTGCATGTCATCCTTGCGCAGGGGCCGCATGAGAGTCTTTTTTCCCATAACCTCTGTGACAGCTTGCCTGGCAGTGGACTTGGAGGCCACGTGACATCAAGATAATTTCCTACCTGACATGATTCAAGAAAAATGGTCTGTCTGCCATGAAAGTGTCTTCTCTCCAATTGACATTGCATTATTAAGTATTTATTTTAATAAATAAGTTATACTTCTGAACAAATTTGAAGCTTGAGATAGTTTATAATAATTTGTCTTGGTAAACATATTTACGGCTTATTTTTGGTTGCACAAGTTATTTACAATGTGTGACAATATTGTAGCTGGATATGCTCGTGGTCTTTTCTTTCTTATCTTTTTTCCTTTATGCTGGAAATAGGTAGTGCACCAATAGTTACTAATTATAATATTCCTGCATCTCATAGATAATGCTTGGGAGGTGAATTAGTTATGTGAATACTGAATCAATATCCACAAATATTAATACCTTCATACTACATGAAAACATCTTTATGGGAATGGAAGTAAATGTCTACATGCATTTTTAGACTTAGGAGTAGACAAACAGCAGAAATAACACCTTCAGGTCTCCCAAATCTCTACTCCAGCTCTCTTGGCAGGGCAGTGGTTGATACCTGTAATTGTAGCACTCTGGGAGGCCGAGATGAGTAGACTGCTTGAGCTCAGGAGTTCCAGACCAGCCTAAGCCAAGAGTGAGACTCTTGTCTTTAAAAAAAAAAAGAAAAATAGAAAAATTAGCCCAGTGTGGTGATGTGTGCCTATAGTCTCAGCTAATTGGGAAGCTAAGGCAGGAGGAATGCTTGAACTCAAGGTTGCTATGAGCTATGATGACAACATAGGTGACAGAGTAAGACTCTGTCTCGAAAAGAAAAAGAAGGAAAAAAAGAATCAGCTCTTTAGTAACAGGTTAAATCTCTAGAAAGTTCATCAAATAAATAATACATTCAGTCAACATCTGTTTTGAAATTCCTGCATGCTAGACTCATAAATCCCTGCCCTCATGGAGCTTACATTCTAGTAAGAAAAATAAAAAATATGTGCATAGTCCAATGATAGTTTACTTTAGATACTGATAATTTTTTGTTGTTGTTGCAGTTTGTCTGGGGCCAGGTTTGAACCCGCCACCCTGGGTATATGGGGCTGGTGCCCTACTCACTGAGCCATAGGCACTGGCCAAGATAGTGATTATTATTAAAGAGAAATTAAAGCAGTTTAATGGCTAATAAAGTGGCTGCCTGCATATGTATGTAAAGTGTAAAATATGATTTTCTATCATTATTTTGCCAAAATAATTCATGGAGATTTATTAGTACATTAGTGTGTACTGTTTAGCTTGTGATATAATTGACTTACCAAAATATGACCTGAGAAAAAGTGATAAGCCAGGTATGTTTGTGGGGAAAACCAACCTCGAAGTTCTTGACTGTAGACTGTCCATCATGGTGGCACTCAGTCACTTGGTTTCTTTGGAAAAAAAAATAGAATAAAATCCTATCTAATAAGATACAATCAAACAAATTCCAGATTCATTAAAGAATTAAGTATTAAAGAGAAGAGAGGTATTAAAGAGAATCTTGTGAAGATAAAACATTTTAGAACAAACGAATAAACCACACAGGAAAATTAAGACTACATGCAAATCTCCCAATTTGCATGCTAAAAATTACTATACACAAATTAAAATGCAAGTAACAAGTTAGGAAAAATGTTTTCAGTATATACAACAAAGCACTTTAAATAATATGAATAGATATTATGGGTTGGTAAAAAAAACTAAGAAAAATAAGCAAAAGCTCTTTATAGAGATATGCAAATGGCTCTTAAATAGATGAAATAATATCCAGATTCTGTAATAATCAAAGAAATAAGATCTAAAATAATAACCATTTGTTACTTATAAATGAAAAATTAAGGTAAATGATAGAATTGCATAAACTTTTATAAATTGCTTGTAAGCATGTAAATTTGCATGAAATTTTTGGTGGATAATTTCACAATATGGCTCCGCGCCTGTGGCTCAAGTGGCTAAGGTGCCAGCCACATACACCTAAGGTGGTGGGTTCGAATCCAGCCTGGGCCCGCCAAACAACAATAACATCTGCAACCAAAAAATAGCCGGGCGTTGTGGTGGGTGCCTGTGGTCCCAGCTACTTGGGAGGTTGAGGCAGGAGACTTGCTTGAGCCTAGGAGTTGGAGGTTGCTGTGAGCTGTGATGCCAGGGCACTCTACCCATGGTGATAGCTTGAGGCTCTATCTCAAAAAAAAAAAAAAAAAAGAAAGAAAGAAAAATAATTTCACAATATGTTTTAGAAGCCTTACAATGATTCATGATCTTTTACCTATCAAGCCTCCTTCTGGGAATTTATTTTAAGGAATTAAAAAAAAAGGGTTACAGAAAAAAACTTTATTATAGAATCATAGAGTTTTTTTTTAAGAGACAGAGACTTTATCGCCCTTGGTAGAGTGCTGTGACATCACAGCTCACAGCAACCTCCAGCTCCTGGCTCAAGTGAGTCTCCTACCTCAGCCTCCCAAGTAGCTGGGACCACAGGTGCCAGCCACAATGCTGCACTATTTTTTGGTTGTTTTGGCTGCCCGGGCTGGATTCAAACCCACCACCTTAGGTGTATGTGGCTGGCGCAATTAGCCACTTGAGCCACAGGCACTGAGCCAAAAAAAGGAAATTTATATCACTTCTACAAAGGGAAATTTATGCCCTGCTTTTAGGCAGGAAGGGAGGAGTGGAGAGTTCTCTTTGAGTAGACTGTTTCTCTCCAGCTCAAAAGTAATCCGTATTCTAATGTCCTTTAATGGAATGGCATATTCTCAACCTCTTTAATATTAACGTGGATTTATTTATTTATTTATTTTTTTGAGACAGAGTTTCACTTTGTTGCCTTCCTGTAGAGTACAGTGGTGTCACAGCTCACAGCAACCTCCAGCTCTTGGGCTTAGGCAATTCTTTTGCCCCAGCCTCCCAAGTAGCTGGGAGTACAGGCGATTTTTTTTTTTTTGGCAACCTTTATTTTATTACTTATTGCAGTCACTTGTGTTTCTTTGTCTGCTGTTAGATGATCAGCTCCTTAAGAAAAAGACCTGTTATCCCCACACAGCCTCAGCATGGAGCTCAGGTATTAAATATTGAGGGACCTGATTACCTCTGGACAAGCACATAAATGCTGTGAATATACTCAACTTGTTAGATACTCAACTTGTTAGAATTATTTTAAAACAGAGCAACTAGCTTTATGACTTGTAGTGTATGATCTTTTTTTGAGACAGTCTTACTATTATCGACCTCGGTAGAGTGATGTGCCTTCGCAGCTCACAGCAACATCAAACTCTTGGGATTAAGCGATTTCTTGCCACAGCCTCCCAGTGGCTGGGACTACAGGAGCCCCTCACAACGCCCAGCTATTTTTTGTTGCAGTTGTTCATTGTTGTTTTAGCTGGGCGGGCCAGATTTGAACCCACCAGCCTCAGTGTATGTGGCTGGCGCTGTAACCACTATGCTACAGGAGCCAATAGTGTGTGATCTTTTTTTTTTTTTTTTTTTGAGACTGAGCCTCACTATGTCACCCTCATTAGAGTGTTAGGGCATCACAGCTCACAGCAACCTCCAACTCCTGGGCTCAAGCGAGTTTCTTGTCTCAGCCTCCCAAGTAGCTGGGATCACAGGCACCCGCCACAACGCTCGGCTACTTTTTGGTTGTAGCCCTCATTGTTGTTTGGCAGGCCCTGGGTTGGACACCTTAGGTGTATGTGGCTGGCGCCTTAGCCACTTGAGCCACAGGTACAGAGCCATAGTGTGTGATCTTTATGCCAACTTTATAGTGGTCGTGCTGGGGCCTTTTCTTCATCTCTATTCTAGGATGTGTTCAAGATAAGTGAAAAGTTTTATTTGCAAAAAGGGCTGGATTATTTTGCTTAGGGATGCACCTAATTTTCTTGTCCTTCCCTGGTTTCTTTGTAGTGAAAGCAAACGAACAAAACCAAATTCCAGTAGCATTATGTTCCAAGGTGAAAAAAAATTTTTTTAAAGTCATTACATGCTTGAAAACCATATTTACTATTGCTTTTTCTTCCATCATATATCATTATCTTATTCTGCAAAAACCAATGGCTGGTTTCCACTTGATGTCTGAGCATAAAACCATTGTTAAACATTTGAGACTGCCACAATTTGCATTTTTTAAAAAGCAAGGTAAATAAAATATTTCATGATACAGATGTACAAGGTCCTTGTACATCTCCCTCTTCCCAAGTGTTTTGCGATCAGAGCCCTTGGGAATGCTTTCAGCCCAGTCCCAATCTCGTCCCTCACAGTGTGGGACCCGCTAGGCCGCAGCACAGGAAATAATGGAGCGAGGCCAGGGGCCGCGGGGCCGCGGGGCTCCAGCGAGCCGGCGCGGATCCAGCCGCGCGCCGCGGG